AGCTTGGCTGACATCATTTTTGTGTCAGCCTTTAACAAGATGGGCATTAGCAAAGACAAGCTCAAGCTAGTAAAAATCCACCTGCTCAGGTTCTCGGGGGAAAGAGTGCTCCCCCTGGGATCCATCTAGCTTGTCCCCATGATAGGAGACCCCCATGTTAATCCACAAGTATAATATGTTACTTGGTGGTGGATACCCCTTCAGCTTACAATATCATTTTGGGAAGACCTTCCCTCAATGCCATGAGAGTCATTTCATCTTCTTACCACTTGGTGATGAAATTTCTAATTGAGAATGGTATAGGTATTGTCCAAGGAGACCAACGCGTAACAAAGGAGTGCTACGTGGCGTCGATGAAGTAAAAAGAGGTTAAAACTATACAGCTGGATGAGCTCAACATAAGGGACGAGTTGGAAATAAGACTCACACCTTCAGAGGAGTTGGAACCTATTCAACTAATCAATGGCCCAAGACACCTAGTCTATGTCGGCTCCAAATTAGTCAAGTAGGTCAAGTTTCACCTCATCCTATTCCTAAAATCAAACATCAAGTTGTTCACTTGGAAACAAGATGACATGCAAGGGATCGACCAAGCAATCACAATGCATAAACTCAGCATTAACCCGACCTCTAAGCCTATAAAGTATAAGCAAACAAGCTTGACCCTGAACGCCAAAAAGCCATAAACGAAGAGGTCTCTAAGCTCCTCCTTTCCAAAGCCATCAGGGAAGTTGATTACCCGGCCTAGATGGCAAATTTGGTTCTCATAAAGAAAACCAATGACAAGTGGTGGCTTTGCATAGATTTCATTAACCTAAATCGTGCTTGCCCAAAAGACAGTTTTCCACTCCCACGGATCAACCTAATTGTAGCTGCCACAGTCGGGCACGAGCTGCTCAACTTTATGGATACCTTCTCAGGATACAATTAGATCAGGATGGACCCTAGTGACCAAGAAAAAATATTATTCATAATTGAGCAGGAGACAAACTGTTACCAAGTCATGCTATTTAGGCTCAAAAAAATAGGGGCCACTTATCAGTGGTTGATGAATCGTATGTTCCAAGGATCAAATCATCTATGGATGTCTACATTGATGATATGCTGGTAAAATCGCTGAAGGCTGAGCTCGACATCTAACACCTACAGGAATCCTTTTAGATACTCAAGAATTATAAGGTGAAGCTCAACCCTACAAAGTGTGCCTTTGTGTTCTACATAGGAAAATTCCTAGATTTCATAATCAATAGTCGAGGCATAGAAGCCAATCCAAAGAAGGTCCAAGTGGTGATTGATATGTAATCACCCACAAATATAAGGGAAGCCCAACGTCTAATAGGAGGAATAGACGCATTAAGTCGTTTCGTCTCCAAATCGAGTGATAAATATCAACCATTCTTCAAAGTATTGAAAGTAACTTTTCATTGGGATGCGCGATGTGAAGAGGCATTCAAGCTCTTAAGGAGTACCTCAGTGCACCTATAGTTCTAGTTTGCCCTCGAGAAGAGGATGTCCTTACCTTGTACCATGTAGTGTTAGATTTCTCTACAAGCATAACCCAGGTAAAGGAACAAGATAGAGCTCAACAGTCAGTCTACTACTGCAATAGAGCTTTGAGGGGGATAGTAGAGAGGTACCCAAAGATGAAAAAACTAGTTCTAGTCCTAGTGACAGTAGCAAAAAGGTTCAGGTCCTATTTCCAAGCCCATACAATAAAATCCCAACGGATCAACCAATGAAATAGATCATGCACAAGCCAGAGTTGTCAGGAAAATTAGTGAAATGGAAAATTGAGCTTAGTGAGTTTGATATCAAGTAAAAGTCCAGAACCACCATTAAGGGGCAGGTTTTAGCTAATTTTATCGCAAAATTTGCCACATCTGCGGGACAGGAGGCATGTCAGAAATCAAACAACCCTGTCCCCGACCTGCTAACATGGAAACTCTTAGTTGATGAAGCATCCAAAGTGCATGGTAGTGGAGCCATTTTGATCCTAACCTCACTAGATGGAATAGACCTAGAGTATGCCCTCAGTTTTGATTTTAAGGCTTCAAACAACGAAGTAGAGTGTGAAGCAATGATCATCGAGCTCAAGTTAGCTTATTCTATGGAAGTGGAATGGCTCATAATATACAGTGGTTCACAGCGGATGGTGAGGCATATAGATGAGACATATGAAGCCGGGGGAAAGGATAGCACTATATCTAAAAAAGGTGCAAGAATTATTGGAAAAATTCGTTCAGGTCAAAATCGTACAAATCCCCTGAGCAAATGAGCAGAGAATTCTCGAGCATATGTTCTAGCCAGGTTGGCCACCACCTCACAAGAAAGCCTAGACAGATTCATCCCAGTTGAACACCTAGTTGAGCCTTCAATGAGCTCTGAACTAGAAGAGGTTCCTCCTATTGATGCATAGCTAACATGGATGGATCCAATCCTAGCTTATTTACAAAATGGAACTCTACCTGCAGATTCTAAAGAAGTAGCAAAGCTAAGGACCAGATCATCCAGATTCACCCTCATCCAGGGAAAGTTGTATAAGAGATGTTTCTCTTCACCTCTCTTGAAGTGCGTAGGAAGGGAAAAAATGAACTACTTCTTAAGGAAAATTCATAAGGTCATTTGTGACATCCATATTGGAGCTCGGACCTTAACCTATAAGGCACTATGGCAGGGATATTTCTAGCCTACCATTATCAAGGACGTAAAGGAATTGGTCAAGAAATGCAAGGTCTGTTAACTCAATGTAAACATCCTACATTGCTTGCCAAAGCTCCTCACCTTGGTGATAAGCCCTTGGCCTTTCCAGTAATGGGGGTTGGATATACTCGAATCTCTTCCAATTAGCTCAAGGAAATGTAAGTTCGTTATACCTGAGGTTGATTATTTCACCAAATTGGCTGAGGTGGATTCCCCCACAAGGATCATAGAGCATAAAATCTAACACTTTGTTTGGAAGTCCATAATTTGTAGGTTCAAAATACCAAGGGCCCTTGTCTCAGACAATGGGAAGTAGTTCGAGAATTCAACATTCAAAGAATTCTGCATCGAGCTCAGCATAAAAAACTACTTCTATGTACCAACTCATCTACAGTCTAACAGGCAAGCAGAAGTCACCATCCAAACTATCAAGGTAGCTATAAAGGCCAGACTTGAAGTTTCAAAGATTCAATGGGTGGAGCATTTGCCATGGGTACTATGGGCTTATAGAACTAATGCTAGAACAACCACGAATGAGATACCTTTAGCTCTTGTCTACAACATTGAGGTAGTGATTTCAATCAAAATAGGTGCTCCGTCCCCAAGGATACTACTAGCAGATCCACAAACAAACAACAAGTCATTGCTTGTTAATCTTAACCTATTAGATGAGAAAAGGAATAATGTCATACAATGCATCACAGACTATCAAAGAAAGACAACACGGTATTACAATAAGAGAGTTAAGCAGAGAAGTTTCAAAGAAGGAGATCTTGTCCTAAAGAAACTCCTTCTAGCTGGGTCACAAAGGTGATTCGACCAAGAAACTACAGGCTATAAACTAAAGGGAGAAAACCGTACCTCACTCATGGAATGCAGACCATCTAAAAAGGTTTTTCCAATAGTAGGAAAGCAAAAGAGGAGGAATGCCTTGTAACCCTACTTGTTGATAAATACATCTTGCAGTTAAAGTATTAACTAATCCATTTAAAAGAACAAGACAAGCTCTACAGCTCACAAACAAACAATGAGCTCCTCAACTCAAAATCAAATGATAAGTTCTTCAACTCATAAATAAATGATAAGTTCTTCATCTCATAAAAATAAGATAATCCTTCCAACTCATAAACAAACGATGAACTCCTTAACTTATAAATATAAGATAAATTTTTTAACTCATAAATAAACAATGAGCTCTTAAGCTCAAAAAATAAGATAAGCCCCTCAGCTCATAAACAAACAATTAGCTCCTCAACTCATAAATATAAGATGAGTTCTTCAATTTATAAATAAATTATGAGCTCTTAAGCTCATAAAAATAAGATGAGCTCCTCAGCTCATTAACAAATGATGAGCTTCTCAGCTCATAAATATAAGACGAGTTATTCAAATCATAAGTAAAATGATGAGCTCTTAAATTTATAAAAATAAGATGAGTTATTTGGCACATAAATAAATGATGAGCCCCTCAACTCATAAATATAAGATAAGTTCTTTCGCTCATAAACAGACGATGTGCCCTTTAACTCATAAACAAACGATGAGATCTTTAGCTCATAAATATAAGATGAGCTCTTCAAGTCTGGGCTGCCACACAAACCTCAAACTCATAAACACACAAGTTTGAAACAAATGCTTCCATAAAATCAAGAATTTTCTTAAAGCAAGGGTCAAGGATGAAGACATATCTCTGCATCTCAAGCATGAAGAAAAGAAAAGTTACTAAGATAGAATTTCTCAAAATCAGTTATTATTCAAAAATAAAATAAAGTTACAAAGCTAAAAGTTCAATGTCTGAAAGTTACAAAAGCTCGAAGTTCCTAAAAGATAGAAAGGCTAAGCATCTGCTGTAGGAGTAATGGTCTCGTCAACGCCTCTAGGCAACTCGGGGTCAATAACATTTGCCTGACCTTCAAGTAAAGCAGGAGTTTGGTCTGACTGTCCCTTAGGCAAGGAAGCCATTGGGACCTCATCAAAAGTAGCCATTGGTAGAGCAGGCTCAGAAGTCTCCACCTTATCTGGAGCAGCCACTAGGACCTCATCGGAAACAGCCATTAGTAGAGCAAACTCTAAAGTCTCCACCTCAGCCATAGTTGTATATTCTTCCTCTGTAACTTCTTCCTCCGCAATAGATGATTCTTCATCTTATTTTCTAAGGAGAGGCTTGAAGTCGAAGTCCAGCTCTAGGTATTTCTCCATGGCCTACTTCTGAAAGGTGAAATAGCCCTTAGCCTAGACAGTGGAACCCTCATCCTTTAGCTCAAAAATTGTGGCGTCCCTCTTAGCTATCCTAGACCTCTTTATTTCATTTTCCTTGAGGCAAACAACATACCGCTCAGTTCTTTCAACTCGTCCTTTACTGCCTTTGTCACATCCCATGCCTCCACCATTTCCTTCCGAGCTTGAACAAGACCATCCATTTTGGGCTTGAGCTTGACCTCAATCTCAAGCTTATTTTTGGATGACCAGCCCCTTAAGGTCATCATTCTTGAAGGCCATCTCAATGACCTTAAGCTTAGAAGCCTTGAGGGATTCCTTGACTTCCCCAACAGCCTTCTCCGAAGCTCGAGCCCTGCTCACAAGAGCTCTGACATATATTGCCATCTACAAAGAAAAATAAAAATAAAGTCAAGTTACGGATCACAAAGCAAAGCGAGGTTCAACAAATGGACTCTGATTAAACCTAAAGATAGAAATCAATGACTCATCAAACTTTCCCAATATAAGGTAGTGGTAGCTGAGGTGGAGAGGAGCATCGAGAAAGCCTATTGGAGGTTAGCCTCAAGAATGATCAAAAGAATGGCACTGGCAGTCAGGTTTATGTCTCCAAGAAGGGAACGCTCGCCTTTGGCCACCTTAGCTGAAGAACTTCCCAACGTGCTGAGAAGTATCTTTGGAGGTGCTCCTTCAGTAGACTTCGATGGAGGAGGATCCCAAAGAGATAAAGCTATTGCATCGGAAGCCTTGGCCACCTCCTTAAGCGCTAGAGAGGTCTTGGCGACCTCTACAGAAGATTTCTTAATCTCATAGGAAGGGACATTAACCTTCTTAACATCTGTAGGAGGCTTGGGGGCAGGAGGGGCCTTCTTAGAGGAATCCTTCTGAGAAGGATTCAAGTCGTCACCTAGTCCGATCTTAGCCTTACTTTTCCCAATAGCCTTGGAAGCTTGAGCATCTTCCCTTATTTTGACCAACTTGGCCTTCGTAACATCAACATTTGGAGCCATGACATCAAGATCTAAGAAAGAAAGAGAAACAAAGTTTTAGACCTGAAACCCAACAAAATAAAAAAAAATTCCAAAGGCATGGAGTTCTTACCAGTAAGGTTTTCTCCTCTACGCGCAGATAGAGGTGCAATAACTTCACCCCTTGACTCCAGTGGTCCAAAACCGTGTTTGGCTAGAATTGAGGGTGTGAAGAGGCTGACATATTTCTTAGAGTGGCACTCCTTAAGGTCTCTAAGGAGAAGTTTCTCATCTGCGTCAAGCTCGGAGTGAATACCTAAAATAACAAAGGAAAACATCAGCATTTGAAAAAATAAAATAAGAGGAGCTCAACTAAGGCACCTCAGCATGGATTCACCCAAATTATCTGGGCTTGACCAAGCTTGAGGGACTGGAAGTGTATCTGAGACATCTCTTGGATTGAACTCCCATTCCTTGACTGACACAAAGAAGAAGTTATATGTTCAACCTTTGTGGGAGGTCGACAGGTTTGTACTCAAATGTTGGGTTTTCACCTGTTTTGAGATGTAAGAAAAGTCATCGATATGAGAGAATTTGACATTGAAGAAATGCATAAGTAAAATAATGGAGGGAAAACCAACAAAGTCATTTTCCTTGAAGAAAATGATAAGGCTTACTAGGATACCCCATAAGTTGGGAGAGAGCTAAGCAAGACAAAAGTTAAAATGCTAAAGTATAGACTTCAAGAAAGGGTGAATAGGAAACTTAAGGCCGTTCTCAAAGGCAACAAAAAAGAAGCAGGTCTTCCTAGGAACCACGATGTCATACCGATTGTCCACATTGGGATAGCAAATGTGCATGTTCCTGGGGAAGTCGAACTTGGCAGAGAATTCACCAAGCAAAATAAGGGTAACTCTGCTAGGTTTTGAGGTGCCCAGAGTGACCATATACTCCCCAGTCGTACCCAAGGTCCCAACTACATTTTTTTTTGCTCGTCTCTTCCAAGATCTTATAGGCTTCATGGCTGATACAAGAAGGAGCAAGGGAGCCATAGCACTAACACCTTGGGTTTCGACTGCGTCAACCCTAGAAAAGTTATTTATTTCATTGCCTACGTCTCCAAGGTCATCGACCTCAACAGGGTCAGACAAAACAACCCTTTTACTCACCTCAGAGGAGCTCAGCTGATCATCCTCATCATAAGAACCAAGTTGTCTACGACGATGAGATTGGTCCTAAGGAGATCTGTCAACCATAGCAAGGGAAATAGAAGACCCGGTAGCCTCAGAAGAAACATACACGAGGAATGAAATACCTAAAGCTATAGTAGTGAAAAGGAATGTTAAGAGATCAATCCTCAATTGCTCAAGGATCCAGACACCAGCGCCTAAATAAGAAAACCCTAGTAGTTGTGTAGGGATCCAAGAAAAGGGAAAAATGACAAGAATGATCTAGGCTCCTAAAATAACGGAAGTGGGATATCCAAAAATGGAATGACCACCTAGAATTTAGTGGATCTAGGGTTGAACAAGAAACCCCAGGAGAGAGAAGCAAAGAAAGGAGCAAGACAGATGGCATACCTAGAAATCGAGGATGATCAACGATTAGAAACCCAAGAAAGACTCCAAGAAAGAGTAGATATGGCTTCAAAAGACCTATAAGTGACTTGGTAACTCTCTGAGGCATCTTGAGCAGTAAGAGAAAAAAAGAAGATAAAATTGCAAGAGGCAGAAGCAGAAAATTTTCTGGGTAAAGTAATAATCAATGCCAAATATGAGCAATAATCAAGGAAAAAATGATTCCACACATGCATGTAATGCCGAAAAACCTAAGACACATCCCATCATGCACCTTCCAAGTAAAAAAAACAAGCTGAGCTCATCCATAACTAGTCACGTCAAGCACTTACCATGAATAAGGGCCCATAATATATTGTTAGAATCTGGATTCCAATCGAGATAACTAAGGTCGGGTGAACAAGTTGACCTCTCAATCCTAGGTGATCACCTTGGTTCAAACACCTCGGCTCAAACACCTCAACTCATATGTCACAGATTAGACGTCCCATGTCGAACCTCATATCTCAGACCCTCTAGCTCGAGATTCGTAGTTCAGGAGGCGGAGGTCAGGAATTGTCACCAAAGTGACTCTCTGTGCACTACGACAATGATAGCTCACACCTTCTAGAGGGCTACGTCACACATATGGAATGTAGCCTCTAATGACCAAATATTCTGTCAGATGGGTCGTACCTACCCCAAAGGGATCACGTTGACTATGCAAGGATCATGTTGGTTACGTGAGGATCGTAGATATTACACAAAATAACTATACAATACAAGAGGGATCAAATCCCTCATATTGAAAGAGATCAAGTGTCCATGCATTGACACTTTATAATTTTGTAACCTCCTTCCTCAAGTAATAGAGAATTCCCCTAGGAGCAACAGACTCTATTAGATTAGACTAGCCAAGCTCCGAGTTGGTGAACCACTATAAACCTCATGTCTATTAAGTTCTACTCACAATGATTATCCTTGAATTGATTGTTCAACCACCAAGAGTCAAGAATTTTTGACTGGATACTCTGGTAATCCCCATCAATAGATCTCTAATTTAGATGTGCTTTGTGTAAGACAGACTGTGAGAATGTAAGACATGTTTTTATTACTTGTGATTATGCAAGTTCAGTATGGGATTCTATATCAACCAAGTTGAGGCTCAGATTAATTGTGAATGAGGAACCACTTACTAGATTTATGAGATTTGTAGGAGAATTTAAACATTTGTTTGTCAACCATACTTTACTCAGGGGAGTGTCTCTATTGATATTCTGGCAAATATGGAAAGAAAGATGTAACATGATTTTTTAGGATCAATGTTTACATTACAATACTCTGGTCAAGAATGTTTTTCATTTTTTTAAGGTTGCAAGTGCGTATTGTCAAGCCAAAAGCATTGGATTCAACAAAGGAGATACAGTTATGGAATTCATTACAAGTCCCTAACACTGATGCAGTGAGGATGCATACATGGTCGATAGCTTGGAAATACCCACCTAATGATGTGATTAAGCTTAATGTCGATGGTGCTGCAAAAGGCAATCCAGGTGAGGAAGGGGGCAATTCTGCGCAATGCCATGGGTCAATTGATTCTGGCAGGTTCATTTTATTATGGTAGTTGCACAAATATGGAGGCAGAAATGCAAGCTTTGTTGAGTGGCCTCAAAATATTGCAAGACTATGGACTTCAAGATTATGATTTGTTGATTGAGACAGATTCAAAACTAGTGGTTGATATGGTCAATAAGAAGATTAAAGTGTCTTGGAGGTACTAGGTTCTTTTAGAACAAATTACTTTTACCCTTCAGTAGTTTAAATTCTAGATTCAACATAGTTATCGAGAAGGTAATATGGTTGCAGATGCTTTGGCAAACAAAGGGGTTACAGATAAACAATCGATCACATATGATTCTATGGGAAACATTCCTACAAAAATGAAGCTACTTATGATGCAGGATTCAAGGCAAATTAAAAATCTAAGGAAAAGAATCTTATCTAGATGATGTTCACACTCGGATCTTATGTGCTTGAAGGATTAACGTCGTCGTCTGCTGGTATTCTTTTCAACTCCAAGATGGTTTCTTCGCAAGGTCTTTTGGATGCTGAATTCTTGTTCTTCTCCAGGAGATTCTTCATGCGATTTAGCAAGGATAGTCTCAAAGTCGTGAGCTTTCTTTCACAAGGGGATTTTTGGATGCTCTGATCTCGTCTTTATTGGATTTCTACTTTATTGCATCCGAAGAAACGACAGAGATTTTATTTGAAGCAGGGGATATGTACATCTTTCAGCATACTAAAGGGTTACAGATTTGCGAGCCTTCTATTACAGAAATGCCTTCTTTTTGTCTTTTTGGAGGTAGTATCACATGTCAAGGTTTTTTGGCTATGTTTAGTTGTCTTCATCATCAAGCTTCTTAGTCTTCTGCCTCTTCCCTTTCTATTTTGTTGGATATTCATCTTCTGCCAAGCTAGTTTCATCTTCTTAGATTCTGGCTGGATATTCATCTTCTTCATCCCTCGTAAAATGAGAAATATTGGACTCTCTCACATTAACAGGCGGATTTCTTCTGCCTCTCACAATGTTTTCCTTTGTCTGTGCAGAATGAATGGATAATCTCATTTTTCAGAAAGGCATATCATCTTCTTAGTCAGTGCATTTGGCCTTTCATTTCTCGAAGGCAGACTGTTTAGCTACCCTATTAGATGGCTTATTTGCTAACTGCTCAAAGGTCTTATCTGCTGAGCAACTCAGCTCATTCCCCCCCCCCCCCCCCCTAACCAAAGCTTGCAAGTTCTCTCAGCTCATTTATACTCTCAACTACCAAAAGCTCTTTGTAGGCTCACAATCTACTTTGGCAGCCACAATTCACATTAGGGAGTGTATTTTATTTCATTATTATTGTACTATGCATGCATTTTGCCTTTTTTTATTTTAATTTTATTCATGTAATTAGATTGCATCGAGAGGTACGGTACATATGTCCCCCTAACTAGGTATAATTTAATTTTTAATCAATAAAATTCTCTCGCATCGTTGAGGTTCCCATAAAAAAAAGGTTAAAATTGGGGGGATCTGAAATTATTTAAAAAAAAAAATTTACCTCTACTCAACTGCATATAATACACCATCAATTATCATTACAAATGTAGCAAAAACCCCCCATATAGTTTTATTTTGGGAGGAAATGATAATATCTATTAGAACATCTTCAACCCCTTATCATTTTTTTTTTACCTTTTTTTAAAAAAAGGTAAAGAAACTCTTAAAAGTTTTTTCAATGCTAAACTGATACATATACCAAATGAAAAGAAACCATTTTTTAAACTCAATTCTTATCATTTTCACCAATGGTGAGATCACACCCTCATTTAAAAATTCAATAATCATATTTATCCTCTTTTAACTTTGAATTTGTCTTCATTTAAAAAAAAAATTCTTTTTCTTTAAATTTAGATTTTTCTATTGAAAATGTTTATACCAAATCAAATTTTTTATTTTTATTTGTTTCCTCAAATTTTAGACATTCCAATTGACTGTGGACACACGAACACATAAAAAATACCGCAAGCTCTAAAGCGTGTTCTTTCTTGCAATTGGCCAATAGCCCCGGTAGTGGCTAGATTCTACTTGCCTCACTAATCAAACGAATAAACAACCTAACTGATCAAAGTCAAAAGGACGTACGCCATATATAAGAGGGCGGTGGGGTTTGGCAATTTTCTCCATTATATCCCCTACTCCTTTTCGTATTAACAAATTCATTTGTCATTTTGAAGAATTCCTAAATTTTCTTCTCCACTCCATCTTATTTTTCTGCATCAGGGTTTACTCGTATTACTATATACACTCCACACCCAACCCTGGATCTTGGCCTTTTATATTAAAGGAAAAAACCAAACCCTAGGGCTAGAGAAAGATTAAAAAAAAACAAACAAACAAAAAATTGAAGAAAAAAATTCCAAAGAAAAAAATTTACAACAGGAACAACGGACAAGTTGCTGCTGGTTTTTGGACCACTGCTGCAGTTTGAAGCTGGCGAGAGGACATATATGAAAATTTGATTGCTTGGGAGTGTTGGATTACTCCAATGTTACTGAGGGTGATTATTTCCCGACAAGACGATCAGTTCGTTGATGGAATATACCTCGTTTTGTTTTTCTCTCTTTTTTCTTTCTTTCTTTCTTTCACTTGTTATTTCCAATATTGGTATGGCCCGTATGGGGGTGTGTATATGAAGAGAGTTTATATATATGTTGAAAAACGTTTGGAGCTAGGATCCAAACATCTGGTCAAGCAGGATGACTAAGGCCATAGCAACGGACGAATCAATTTCAGGCTGCACAATTAGGCGAAATATATCCATGCCGAAAGCCACCCCTCCCTTGGCCTCTTTCCGCTTGATCTCCGCCACTAGCCTCCTTTTGTCATCGTACACGGCACTGCATCGTTGGTTGTAGGACCCCTCTATCTCATAAATCACCTTCTTTTTTTTTGGTGATGACGTTGGCGATCCATTTCCATCAAAACATGAGCTCACATAAGCTAAGGATTTTGTTTTGAGGAGGTTCATATGTTTCGTCACTGAATATTGGGGATTGATGACCGTTTCTCCCTCAAACACCAGCCAGCTGTCCGATAAGCTCAGCCTCTGATTGACCAAATCAAATTACAACATTACGATTATTAATTATGATTACTAAATGTAAGTGTCCGATTATTAATCAACCACTTATTACCATCATTTGCATGCCATAACATGTAAGTGCAGGTTATGTTACCTTGCGGCGTATAGTGAGGAGAGACTTGCCGGAGCAGTCCATAAGGATAATCTCACCCTTACGTCCGGCGATGTAGTTATCAACACGAAACACCAGATTCCCCTTCGCATCAAACACGGTAAAACCGTCGCAGTTCAAAAGCAGCGATTTCTTCCACACAGTGAGCACCACAACGTCCCGTTCGACAGGAGGTGCGACGGTGGCAGTAGCGGAGGTGTTCGGATATACCTTTGTCATTTCCCGATCGAAAAGATGGATTATTATTGACAAGTATACGGCTTTAGACTCATCAGAAGCACTAGCAATCGGAATTAAAGGCAGTTGTAATATCTTCTGCCCAGCAAGAGAGAGAGAGAGAGAGAGAGAGGCTTATTTGGGATTGGGTTATTTGTCGAAGTGAAAATGCAGGTAGGGGATATATATAGGCGACGGTATGTACAAAATGCCCCTTGGATATGGAAGGAACGGAGAAGGAACATTAGATTTAGGAATAATACTTGCGAGATATAATTTAACGATATATTGATGATATAATAATTAGATTATCAATAGATATCATAATTTAGATACTTCCTTATTAATTCAATAATCACAAAATATAATCTAATTAAATTATATCTTAAAATTGTGTCCAAATAGTATTAAGGTAGGTTGAGAGGCACGGTGCAGGTTAGAAAAGGTCTACCTCGTGTACACATTTGGTTTTTTTGTTTGTACATGACAGTCATCGTGGCATAGGGATTGGACGGAAAGTAAAAAAAAACGAGAGCATCACTAAACAAGGAAATGGGATTGTGGTGGTGGGATGCTTTGGACTTTGTGGGGGCTGGCCTGCACTGGCTGGCTGATGATGGCAGTGATTATGATTGATTGCAATGAAGAATAGAAAAACAAAATCAATTACATGTTTCTGTTTGACTACTGCGATCGATATCCACAAGATTTGTCATTTGCGATGGTCCCTCATTAGCTGCTTTATCTTCACTTCAAAGGCAAATTTAATAATTATTAGGTACCAAATCAAGAAATGAACAAGGTAGATATAATAAAACAAAAGTTGTGGCTGAGGACTTATTTGCGGTGGAGGGAGAGGCCGCCTGTCAGTGTTCTGATTCCATTTCCCCTCCACTCACGCTCCAGCCCCAAAGATAAGATATTTTTATAGCTAGATGAATTGGGGAATACTAGTATACTATCGAAGATTAGTGAATGGACGGAAGGACCATTGAAGATGACTTACCTGTCCCACCGAAACACCCCGATTGGTTTGGACGGTTTGTGCGCACTCGCAATATGCTTGGAGTGGACCAACTCTATTTTTATTTTTATTTTTTATTTCTATTTTTTGCTTATATAATAATAACGCGTTATGATAAGGTTCACCCACCACAAACAGTTGCTGCAATATTGCTTCAGACTATGACGCATTTAAAAAAAAAAATCAGAATGATATATATTTCGAATTATTCTATTTTGTTTATACCATGTGCTTTGTAAAAAACCAGTGAAAATAGTAATTTCATTCCCGTTAACTTGTTGCAAACACCAATTTCTTCACGATCTTCTTTCAAATACCACCAATTTCATAGCACTGCTCTAACCGATTGTTTTTCTGTCCTCTTCGGTTTTGCTTCATCTTCTTTTGGGTTGCTTCAAACGGTAAAACAAAATTATTTCGAAATGAGGGCAATTTAAAACTCACTTATAAATTGAAACTATAATACTAGTATTATTATCCAAAAATTAATTCTTAAATTTTCTTATCAAAACATTTCCCTTCTCATAAAAAGTCTCGTATAGTTGTCACAAAGGATTCGACTACAATACTAAAGAGATTTTTTTTGCGGTAACATTCCGAAGTTACAGCAAAATAAAGATAATGTTACAATTCAATATGGTGAAATTCTAAAAAAAATTGATTATTGGGATTGATCATAATATTTTATAATCTTTCCTAATTTTTTATTAATTTATTATAACTCGATTTATTTGAGTTCTAACTATACTCATATAAATTGAAGGTGTTCCCTGTTTACTTTTGGTATAGTGTCTCTAAATATTGTGAATTTTTTTGCACATAGTCACCCACGGGTTGCACAAGAATTTATAACATATTTAACAGACTGCGGTGTGTGAAATTATCCTTTCATGAGTTAAACTTTGTGCATTTTGAGTTATATTGTAATCATAAATTTAATTTACTTGTCGAAGAAATATTATTAAGTTATATACAAGAACTAACAATAAATCATGTTCCAAAATAAAAAAGTACTAAACCCAACACTTCATCATTGAGCCTTTACAAATAATTTATAAGAATCAATCAAAATAAAATTTGACCCAAAAAAAAAAAGCAATATGTCACAAGTCTATTAAAAGTAAACTTAAATAAAACGGCAATTTATTCTAGCACAAGCAAATTGTGCAAGTTCAATCAATCGAAATAATATAATGTAAAATGTAATCCATAAATGATAAATTTCAAATATATGATCATTAAGTCCAACATTCTAATTTAGAATGGATCCTTTGCTTTTCAAAAAAATATATATAAATCAATCCTATATAGCACAATAAATAAAAAAGATTCATGTAACCGACCAAAATAATTGGAAAAAAAAAAAAAATTATGGAGTTGAGTTGTTTAAAACTATCCCTAATTTTTTTCTAACTTTCTAGTGGGGGGCATGTTCTAAAAAATTTAACTTTTAAAAATCTAAGGCTCCAAAAATTTTCAAAATTATAGCGGAGGCAAATACCTCCACTGGCTTGACTGTGACTCCGCCACTGATTCCTTGATTCTTTTGATGACCTTGATCAATGGAATTTGAAGTTGACACATCTGTTAACACAGGGAAAGCCCAGTCCAAAAGAGGCTAGACATGTCAGGACAACCAAAAGGCAATGGTCTAAAGATTAGCCCAACCCAGCAATTAGAAAGTGTGACCCCAATTTTTGGGGTCTTGATTAATCCGTTGATCACTCATTAATCAGTAAAATAATTTGGATATTGCTTAACTCGATAACACCTAGTAATATCTCATTTATTGGGTCCATAACTTAAACGAAATTTAGGCAGAGTCTCTTTTGTATATGTAGCTCTATGCAAAACATAACATGTGCATTCTAATACTCGTGTGACCATTCCATGACCTAACATTAATATTTAAACATTTCATACATTGCATATCCATCCACAACCATTGTTATACCACATCCATTCATAAAAAAATAAATGTTCATACATTAAGTCTCAATTACATGCCTTTGTTCCAAAAGAATATACAAGTTTTAGTTTTCCAAAATATATAAGGCCAAAATGTGAATTTTCACAAGGGATTACAAAACTCCAACTCAAGAGCCACAACTTGGCTATCTCCTCAAAGCAGGCTCATAGGAGGGCCTCTTGTGGATGTCTGTCTGGTACTAGAAATGTATTCCCATAAAGGGTGAGCCACACTCAATAAGGGATCTCCTATGGAGATCACCTCCCAACCCAGATACATATGAAATGTTACATATAAATCATTATTTCAAGTATCCATTCAAATACATAAATTTCATAAATGAATGCTACAATTTCATGTCGTGCTATGAGATGAGAATTCACGCATGCAAAAAAATGTAAACATATAACATACCCAAACAAGTCATTTCATTAAACCCAAATTATTTTGACACATTCTCATACCTATTTTCCATATCCTAGATACATTAGGTGTGAGCTAACACATAAGATTATATCTCTATAGGCTTATCCATTTCATATCATAACCCTAAGTTGGAAATAAACCTAAATATGAGGGAACCCTACCTCTTGTAGTGTGAACCCGAGTAGTAGAAATCTCAATTACCCAAAATCAAGCATTCCAAGCCTTAGACCTAGATTCTTGTCTTTGAGATTTTTGGAGAAAAGTGCGATCTTTGATATGGTTATGTAGCCAGTGTTGTGTAGAGCAACTTTAATTTTTGGCCCTAAGAAATCTAACAATTGAATCTTCGTGGATCTAAGAAAGAAGGTGAAAAGGAGACTCTCTCTCTCTCTCTCTGTGCTGATCTTTGGAACAAAATGGGTGGAAGACAATTTCCCCTTTTTTATACTCCTTAAAATGCTTGGCCCTTGTTGCGCCACACATCCCGATTTAATTGGTCTAATTTTATTCCAAATCAATTAAATCTCATCCCACATAAATTTTAGTATATTTTTATTGAACTAAATTTAAATTATATTTTGAGTCCCACTAATAAATTTGATGGCAATAATTTTAGTCGTGCGACATCCGATCGGATCGTAAAATATAAAAATTTTGATTATCTCGAAACTCAACAACAATTGGTTAGGTAACTAGATTTCGCGATAGGAATCCAATAGTGAAGTCCGTTTCATCATCTGAATTCTAAAAAATTTTGGGTTTTTAACCCATAACGTAACAACTAATTATCATTTTGTCTTTTTTAACTAAGTTATAATTTTTTCGAGTTTCGTAAAAAATGTTCACTCTTAACCAAGGGCAAGTAGCCCAATAAAGGAAAAAACCCATAAGGCACTCCAGATATTCTTGCGAGCTTAAGGAAGGACAAAAAGGGAAATTACTTCATCAAGTCTTATCTAGGAAGAAGTTATCAATGTTACGTCTCCTATTTCTAGAAGGTCACGTTATGCCAAGGGTACTCGCACTCCGATCTCGCCATTGGTCTTCAACTTCTGGGGAGGCTAGTGACTGATAACTGAACAGCCTAAGCTAGACTAGGAACTATGATGACACTTTACACAATGGAGTCAGAATGACAAAATGAACTGCATACTCAATGAGAGAGAATCAGACACGCAGCATAAAGTACGGGATGAAGGGTAAAGAGACATAACTACCCTTGCTGATATGCGACTCTTTCAGGTAAGCATTTAATGAATCTCTAAATGATGTGACATCCATAATGGCTTGAGAAGCAGAGTATAGGGGGTATTAGATGCCCTGGGCCCCTAGCATTTAAAGTCTTTACATCGAATAAAGAGCATTAACTGCTCGGGAGCCAAAGCAATTAATACTAGGACATTCCCCACACAAAATAAGAGGTGCACTGCCCCATCTCTTAAGGCTACCTACTGCCTAGACTGTCAGTAATGATGAGTCTTTGAAGGTATAAATAATCATCAAAAATACATTACAAAGGTACGCAAAAATCACCTCTCAAGAGTCATACAATATTTTTTTTCCTCTCTCAAAGAACTGACTTGA